GACGCAACCAGAGTTGACGTGGTCATAAGCCTTAAGGACCTGACACGTATAAGTTGCTCAAGGGTCTAGCAGCACCTGAGGACCCGGCACTAAAACGTTTTGAAGATTTGCTCGCCGTTTTGTGAAACCGCTTGTCGCCGCGGCCGTTGGTAGTCGCAGAAAGGACAACGTTCCATAAGAGGGAACAACAGGAAGGGAGATCGGTCGGAAAATATGTCGCCGAGCTCAAAAGAATGGCACAGACATGCAATTTAGGAAGTAACCTGAAAGAAACTCTTAGAGACAGGTTCGTCAGCGGACTGAATCGTGTTGACATTCTGAGAGTTTTGTTTGCCGAAGATGAGAGCCTGACATTCAAGAAAGCTGTGGAAAAAGCGTTAACTATTGACAGAGTCATTATGAATGTGCAGGCGTGTCATAACGAGCAGGACAACGATCAACTCGAACTGCAGAAACTGACAGCAGTGAAACCAAAAACGGTAGTGGTGGCTCAGGACAAATGTTTCAGTTGTGGCTTCCCTAAGCACATTGCTTCGTCATATCCGCACCGTAACGCTATTTGTTATCGCTGCAACCGTGAAGGTCATCTCCAGCGTTTCTGTAAAGCACCACTGGCCTATACACCAGGCAGAGCAAAGGAGTCAAAAAGTTCTCAGCTGAGGAAGAAAAGAGTGAAGCGATATACGGGCTTCAAGACAGAAACATGAATGCGCCGTTCTACTACAGGCTCAAGGCCGGGAACGCTCCTCTTCAGATGGAACTAGACACGGGGGCTGCCGTGTCTACCATTTTGATATGGCAGTTCCAGCCGTTGTTTCCTCGCGCGGAGCTGTCTCCGACGTCACTAATACTGTGCACGTACACCGGTGAGCGTGTCAAGCCAAAAGGAGTGGCGACGGTGGACGTAGAGTATCGAGACTTCAAAGGAAAACTTCCGCTTCACGCACTGAAAGTAGACGGGCAGGGCACCTTTGATTGGCAGGGACTGGGTCTACAAGCTGAAGTTTGACTTGGGATCGCTAAACTCGGTCAGCGTTGATGTAAAAGCGTCACTCCAAGGCGTCCTAATACTGCAAGGGGAAGAGGTTAGGCTAAGTTTAAGGGAAGTCGCGAGTCCTAAGTTTCTGAAAGCTCGAAGCATGCCGTTCGCACTGAAGCCAGCTGTAGAAGAAGAGCTGAAAAGACTGGAGGCAACAGGCGTCATTGAAGCGGTGGCCCATAGTGACTACGCTACATCAGTTGTCCCGGCTTTGAAAAAGAAGGGGTGTGTACGTCTTTGCGGGGACTATAAAACAACGGTAAACCCTTGCCTGGACGGGGAGCAGTACCCATTGCCAAGGTTGGAAGACATTCTAGCAACGGTAGCTGGAGCGACCGTTTTCTCGAGAATAGACTTAAGTCGTGCATACCCGGCAAGTTCCTGTTCGCCCTGAGTCGCAACCCTATCTGACAATCAACACGCATAAGGATTTCTTCCGTGTCAAGCGTTTGGCGTTCGGCATCACTTTAGCTCCAGCACTGTTTCAAAAGATAATGGACAGCTTACTGGCGGAAATCGAAGGAGTGACCTGCTATCTCGACGATATCCTGGTAACAGGGAAGACCGCCGGGGATCACCTCAAGAATTTGGAGCAAGTCCTAAAGAAACTCAGTGACAAGGGCGTCCGAGTCAAGAAAGAAAAGTGAGTTCTTGAAAACAAGTCTGAAGTTCCTGAGGCACCAAGTCAGCGAGCAAGGTGTAGCTGTGTTGGCAGAAAACGTGCAACGATCCTCCATGCACCTCAACCGCAAGACAAAACAGTTGCGGTCGTTTCTGGGAATGGTGACATTCTACGGAAAGTTCCTCCCTGACCTCTCCACCACTAAAAAAAGACGTCGTCTGGACCTGGAGCAAGAGTTGTCAAGACGTTCTTGACACGGTGAAGAGGCTTCTGGTTGACGCACCTGTCCTGGCACATTACGACCCCAAGGCAGACCTTCAGGTGTCGTGTGTTGCCTCGGCATACGGTCTCGGAGCAGTCTTGTCCAGGGTGTACTCCAACGGCGACACACGGCCTAACGCGTTTGCGTCGAGAACCTTGACGTCGAGTGAAACTACAGTCAACTAGAAAAGGAGGCACTGGCTATTTTGTTTGGCGTGAAGAGATTTCACGTCTACTTGTTTGGACGATCCTTTGTGTTGGTCACTGATCACGAACCGCTGCAGACCATTCTCGGTCCAAAGACGGAAATTCCGAGCATTGCTGCCGCACGTCTGCAGAGGTGGGCTATTACCCCTTCCGCCTATCAGTACCGATTGGTTTACCGACGGGGTCGACTCAACGTGGAGGCGGACTGCTTGTCACGACTTCCAGTTTCTGGGTTCCAGGATAAAGACTGCAAGGATGACGTCGCGGCGTTCCTCAGTCTTCGCCTGCAGTCTTTTCCGGTAAGCAGCCAAGAGATCGCACAATTTACAGCGAAAGATAAAGTGTCTCTGTCAAGTGGCAAGGTTCCTCGCCGGTGCGAGGCCCGCAAAGGTAGAAGATTGTCTAAAGCGTTACTTTGCAAGAAGGAATGAGCTGACGTGGCACCAAAATTGCCTTTTGTGGGAAAAGAGAGTGGTGATCCCGCTGGGACAGCGCGAACGTGTACTGGAAGAGCTGCATGAAGGGCATCTTGGAATTGTAAAGATGAAAGAACTGGCACACAGCTAGGTATGGTGGCCTGAGGTCGATGCGGATATTGAGTATCGCGTCAGGTTGTGTGACTCCTGCCAACATCAGCAGAGTCGTCCAGGTCCAGATCCGCTGCATCCCTTGCCCTGGCCAACTCGTCCGTGGCAAAAGCTGCACTTGGATTTTGCGGGACCTTTCCAAGGCCGTCATTTTCTGGTGAGAATCGACTACCACTCCAAGTCGCCCGAGGGTTTTGTGATGAACAGCACATCGGCCGAAGCAACTATTAAAAATCTGTTTGGTCCTTTCGGTCTGCCAGATGTTGTCAGTGACAATGGCCCCCAATTTTTTTCTCAAGAATTTTATATTTTCTTGCAAGGGAACGATGTAAGGCACATCAGGACCGCCCCCTACCATCCGTCAAGTAATGGGCTGGCTCAGCGCTTCATTCGCACCCTGAAGGAGGCCTTACGAAAAGAGATGCCGGGCCGGCTTCTGTCCCGTCGACTAGCAAGTGTCTTGTTAGCTTACAAGAACACACCGCAGTCCACAACCCTTCAGAGTCCTGCGGAGTTGCCGTAACATAACGTAACGTGAGACAACGGCGCTGTGTGAGCCGCCTGTAGTTCTCTAGTGTACGGTGCTACAGCGCAGATCAAATAGTATCTAGCCGCACCGCTGAAATTGTAAGCAACTGCTTATGCGGATGCGTCGTCTGCTGTAGGCGCACGTTGCGAGGTTGGGAAGCTTAAAGAGCCGTTTCGCTGGAGCCACTGTTAGCGGAGCTCAACTTAGAGAGCCCCAGCTACTCCTCGACTCTGATGCGTGTACCGCGACAGAGTGAAGCAAAAGTATTGACTGCAGCGGCGGTGGGTCGCTTGCTCCTGGAGGCCAGCGACTATCATCAGACTGTTCAAAGTTAGTCAGCAGTAACTCCTTTCAGTGTGCAACATCTACATATCTACAAATGCCACGAGTCGTGCGAGAAAGACAAGATGCGTAGAACCTGCGATTCTACAACCTACGGTTGCGATATTGTAAAGTTGGCATTTCTCTTCTTTTTTTTTTCTTTTTTGTTGCATTTAGGCTATCGCGAAACCATAAAACTTTTCGTATAGCCTTCGCCATCAAAGTCTATGCCTCTCAACGTGCGTCTACGGCCAGTAGACGACGCCGCGGTGTTCGCACTAAATAGTCTGTTGCCAGATAATATCAGCAGTAAACGCACCGGCTTCCCCACGCGCTCGTTGCCTTCTGAAGTGTTTGGCTGCGCGTTCGCCAAGGTGTTGTCGAAGGTAGAAAACTCGCGCTGAGGACGGAGCATCTAGTGCTAATCTTATGTTGCAAAGGATCTAGTCACTGACAGGATTAGAACGGCAGGAAGGTCTTTCAGTCGATTCTCCTCCAGTGCGAGCTTCCTACCTTTAACAACGCTTTGGCATCGCTTGAGTCTCGAGAGTGAACGCTGAGCCGCAGCAAGGCGATATGGCAATGACTGCCTGCCGGTGGCATCTAAAAGAGACGCCCTTCCGTTCTTATGCTGTCAGAGACGGGTGTCTTTTTAAAAAGAAGCTGAAGAGGTTCTTGAAAGAGGAAAACGAGTTAAATTTGAGTTCTAGAGTATTTGTATTCCGTGAATCTGAATATCACGCTCGTTTTCCCCGAAGATGTAACTAAACGCGAGAAAACCCGAAAAACCACCGACCCGTCGTTACGTCATAAAATGATATTTTTGGTCACGTACCAAGCGCTCGCTGCTCGTGTGGGCAGCGCGTGCACTTGCAAGCGTTCCAGGAACTAGCCAACGCACTGTTTCCAAACAAGCCCACACGAGGTGTGAGCAAACACGCAGTTCCCGCATGGGGTGTGGGCACCGCGCGTTCGCACAAACCAGATTTGCGTCGAGTGTAGCGTTTGCGCATGTGCCCTGCCGATAGCAGCGCCACCGCAGCAGCGTGACGTCAGGGCCACGTGTTGGCGTCTTTTTTTTTTGCCTTTCTTGAAAATAGCAAGAGTGCGTGTGCATAGCTTTGATAGGCGCTGATGATGCGCGAGAGCGAGAGTCCGAAAAGTCCTTTTATGACGTAACGCACCGGGAAGGTGGAGCTTTAGCGGTACTTGCGAAATGATTTTCTGCGGCCTCTGTGCTCCACATTAAGAATGCTAAAAAATATATATATATATCGCGATATTTGTGATTTTAGGAGGCTAAAGGAAGGCGATTTAAGTGTTTTTACTCAAATATAGAACCGCTTCAGTTTCCCTTTAATCTTGGGAGCACGCTGGCGGCACAGTTCGATCTCGAGACGTCGTCGAGTGTAGCTTCAGCCGCGGGGCTCTTGCCTGACAGGCGTCGTAGGTGTGCTTGTAGGCGCAGAACATGGTGCTCGGATGGTAAGGCTGACCCCGGAGCGCAGCTTCGCAGAAACTCTCGGGCTGCACCTTCTGGGTGACGTACATCATGTGCGTGGTGGTCCTTTTGATGTCTGTAATGAAGTCGATCATCAGGGGCAAATCGAGCTCCTTCCGCAATTTCAACGGGCAATACAGAGCAGTTCCTCCGTGTTTCTATAGGTATACGCTATAGACCTCTCCAATGATTACAGAATCACAGTCCAGCGTGCGATCTTCACAGCCCAGCACGTGCGTATTGGTCACATCGGAAAGGGAGCAAATCACGCGCCATACGCATGAACACTCAAAATGACATCGGCCACACGCTCTCTCTTTTTTTTTTGGAAAGGTCTATAATTACTGAGAGGAGGAGAGCGACAAAGTGTCTTTTTTGGATCCTCGGCCTCTCATAAGCGCCTTTTGCGTTCCGCTGCGCATGCGCGTGCAGGCTTGAGGCTCACGAAGCACCTAAGTGCTATCGAAGCTATACTCCGTTCACCCTTAAGCTCAGACTCGAAGCTCCGCCTTCAGAGCAAGCTCGCTGGCTTCATGCAGTGCTTTGGTTGCGTGTGCCTGCGCTTTCACACTTGTGATAGCAAGGCAGAAAACTCGCTCTGAAGGCGGAGCTTCTAGTCTCAGATTAAGGGTAAACGGAGTATACTATAGGTGGCATTCACTTGACGTTATTCGCTATAGGGCGCTGGCATCGACTGCCACGGTCGCCATGTTCGATGTATCTTTCTATCCCACGTAGCTGTCGGCTGTCGTCTGACCGGACCTTTCAGCGTGGTGTAGCAGCATTTTATAACCTTAAAGGGTCTTTCTAAGCAAAACTAGTGTTGTTTTTTTTTTCTGTTGTTTTTTTTTCTTTTAAAACGCGGTAAGAATTTTTTTTGTGTTGTTAGTTTTGTTGCTAGCGTACTTGTCCGCTGCGACCGTTTTGCTCCTTTAGCTCCGTCCAGCGCTCCGTTAACGCTTCCTGTCGCGGCGTGCAAAAGGCGGTAGCTCTTGTGCAAGAACTGTGATTTCTCTATATACTTTGGTGCTTTTGTAGCACGGTCTGATTACTTTTTTTTTCTTTTGCTAGCTGTATTTTTTTTTTTAGGGGGGGGGGGGGGGATTAGGCGGACTTTCTTTACTTCGGCCGTGTCACCGTGTTGCTCCATGGCCTCCGTGTCGTACGTCGTGCCTATGGTGTTCGTTCCTGTGCAGAAACATACCGTGCGGCTCGCCGTGTACGTTGCTAAATCAGCGAGTGGCGCATTCTTTTCGAAGTTACAGCTGCAGTCCTCTCACAGATCATAGTCGCCATCTTTGGGGGCAGGAAAAAGCCCACTTTCGCAAAGTTTTCGTCGGTAGGCTTTTACCGCGTGTGGTTAGAGCACCCTATACAACTACGCAGTTCACCCTGGCCCAAACGATTTACGTATAAACCGCGTGTAAGCGATTTGGTGAGCGACGAGACAAGCGACAGTGACCCGCTTCGCTATCGCTCGGTCAGTCGTGCGACCAGGCAAACCGCATGAAAGCGACGGGAGCGAGCGACCAAGGGGATCAGCGACATTTTCTAGAAATCCCAAAACCGAGCGACGCGACGAGCCGTAGTGAAGGGGGCACAGCATGTAGACGATTCAGCGAGCGACGAGACGAGCGACGGTGACAGTGACGAGACAGCGACGAGCGACGGAGATTTCTCACGGTCGCTTGTCGCGTCGCTAGGTTTTTGAATTTCTAGAAATCGTCACTCGTCGCCTTGGTCGCTTGCTCCCGTCGCTTTCATGCGGTTTGCCTCGTCGCGCGAGTGGTCGAGCGAGAGAGAAGCGGGTCGTCGTCGCTTGTCTCGTCGCGCGCCAAATCGCCTTCTTAAGGTTTATACTTGTGAAATCTCTGTCGCCTTTCGCTTACCCTCGTCGCTTTCGCCGTCGCTCGTCTCGTCGCTCGCAAAATCGCTTACATGCGGTTCAACCTTTACACACGATGCTCGGCGGCAACAAGAAAATTAAAACGGCCCACCCCCGAGATATTTTTTTTTTCTCTCCTGTTCAACGAAGCTTCTTCAACGATATGAAATTAGCACACACTACTAACGGACGACCGCGTACCCGAGCCAGTCAAATTACGACCTCGAAGATCGCGGATCGACGGTGGCGCTCCCTGGAAAAATCGAATATCTGCAGGCTCAGTGAATACCACCTATTGCTCTGAATCGAGAAAGAGCTCGTTTTATTGTTCATGTAAGAAATGTTTTTTTTTTTTTTTATGACAATGTCCAGGAACAAAAATATGATGCCTCTTCCCCAACGTATACGTGCTCACACCGACAAATAAAAAAAAGAAAGAAAAGGGTAACAGCTAATCGTGTAAAAAAAAACAAAAAAAAAAAACAAGGCTAACTTTGTCAGCTCATAAAATACAGGTGCGATCTTAAAGGCCTGAAATGCAACAAATATATTCAAGAAGGTTGCTTGAATGAGCAACCACAATAGCATATATTCTGTACTTCATTTACCAACCTGACAGGGTGGTGGAAGGTATACCGCATAAGTGCTTGCCAGGAGCAAGCAATTTCCCGCATTTTGTTGTCTGACCCGATTCTCTCAGTCCAGCATAACCTCGTTATAACAGATGTTGGAGGCATTCGACGTCTGATTACGGCAGCAGTAGTGCCGTAGGGCTCTTGCGTTTTCCTCGCTCACGTTTAATGATGAAACAAATTGGGGGCGAGCAGCCGATGGGACACAGGTCAGAATAAGCGTGACTTGTGTGGACAGCACTTGAAAACGCGCTTGGAGTTCTGTCGTTCGGCACTTGAACGCCTTGCAAGAGTACCGTCGGACGGCAAAAAAAGAATGCGCCGTCTGCTTGTCATTTGCGGTGACTGATAATATAATTAGCTTCGCTACCTATACGCGAAATCATTGGGGAATATGGTGCAAAACTTGCCAGCACCGTAGCCTGTTCTTCCACGTTTTGACTGGCTACACAGATAAAGACTGGAGCTGCCACACAAGTAATTTCGTCTGTTTTATTTGTCATAGAGAGTCCATCGCAAAGGTTCCCCACCTGGCGCGGAGTGCAGTCCCCAAACCCTTAGCTGCTACGAAGGTTTTTTGTCGAGATTGTGCCGGCGTATCCATTGGAGCCATTCATGACGCCGGCAAATCGATTGTTCGAGTGTCGCCTTTTCATAGCTCCTAATGATTGCGGAATTAAGAAAAAAAAATGCTGCTGGGTGAAGTTCTATTTTGTCGCCAATTTTTACGGCTGGAAGAATTAATTACGGTGCAACTGACCATATTAAACCTCGAGTGAGCGGACAAACTACAGCCCGAACACGGCCCCACAACACACAAAGCACAGCATAACAGCGACGAATGCCTTCAACATTCGGCGGGTTCCAGCGAGATTTCTGAACCTGAAGTAGCGTTGCATCATCTTCTCGTGGAAGAACCTAATAGCCTGGGGAACTACAACATATACGGACGTATAAATAAATTGTTTTTTGTTACAGAAAAAAAGCGATTCGCGTGTCAGAAAGCTTCATATTACTCGCACGCCTAACGGCACATTATAAGCATGAAGTCAGGAAATAAAACATTGTTACAATTATAACTTTCTACAATGTATGCGATATGTCTTAAATTTACAAACAATCCATTGCAACAAACTGATAACCGAACTAGGCAAAAAATATTGAGCACGAAGTGCGCAGCGTCGAATCAGTGCCACGTCCTCGAACAAACTTTGGCTACAGACGCAGCCCACAACATTGATTTTTTTTTTGTTTTTTTTTTGAAGCGAGCGACGTGTTCGAGTTTAGCTCGGAAACCGAAAAGTGTTGTATCGGTTTAGTTTTCTCTAACTGTATTATTTCTCGTATATAACTTAATATTTTCTGTTGATATTCCTATTACTTTAATGGGCACCAAGTTACCAAACGCTTGGAACTGAGGCCTTGTCAAGCTGCATTCTGCATTATTACCGCTTTTTCCTCTGTCTCCGTACCCCTATTGTATATTCTGGGAGTGAAATGAACTGAACTGAATTTAAACATACCTTCCTTGGGGTATCCCCAGCCGGAGACGACTCCCGTGCTGCCCTCGATGCTGAGAGGCTTTGTGGGCACGCAGATGGCGCTGACAGAGGCCGAAAAGACCAGCGGAGAGGGAAGGACCAGGACGGCGATGTCGTTATACAGGTTGTGGTCGTCGTACTTGGGGTGGACGATGTACTCGGAGCCCTCCATCTTCTCGGTGCGCGCCAGTGTCACGTGCCCATAGAACACCCTGTACCTTTGAGCAAGCCCACCCTTCCTGCGCGAGAGCGATTAGCTTTACTCTCTTCGAACTCAAAATAAATCATCACAAACCGGTACTATGTGACTTTAAACCGATGTGAAAATCCGTTCACGTAGTACCGTATTTTCCGGACTATAGTCCGCACCCGGTGTATAGTCCGCAGAGGCAAATTTGGGGACAAAAAATGAAAGTTTTTGCTTAGACAGTCCGCACCCGCTGCATAGTCCGCACCCAGTGCATAGTCCGCACCTGGTGCTTAGTCGACACGAAATTCTTCTCATACGCAGCACACCTTGACATATGTATGTTTTCTTAGCTCACAGAAAAAACCTATAATATACATAAATTATCGATAACATACTCTTTTATTCACAAAATCCGTCCCGTCTCGTCATAATCAACGATATTGAAAAACATAATTCCTGTATAGTCCGCACGCCTAGATAGTCCGCACAGCCAGAAATTTCAACTTTTAAACATGTATAGTCCGCGGACTATAGCCCGTAAAATACGGTACATCTAATTCTCCCTAGAGCCTGTGAACGACAACTTACTGGTCTCTGTATAGCGCACTTCCAGCAAAGATGATATCTAAACAACGTCCTCGCTCAGGAATAGGGAGTATTCACTGGCGGCCATATCCGTGTGCGCTGCTGCTGAGCGCGTGCTGACGGCGAGCTTCGGAGTCCTTTCGGAAAGTGCATTTAGCACCATCAAGGTTGCCGGTCTCAGCAGGCTATTAATGTGAGCTCGTTCTGAGCATGCGCTCTAAACATCGCCCTCAAATATGGCGTCCAGTGAATACCTCCTATACGGCTTGCGTGGACGTCTATTCCTCTATCACATGGGAATAGACCAATAGACCGATCTCACCAGTCAGTTTGACTACGCCACCGTTGCCGCAATGCATCGAGGGAACTTTAGTCTTTTTGCACGTGCGATAACCTCGCTGGAGCACTGCGCGTGTAGAGCATGAGAAGGCACGAGCCCTCGCCTGCACGGCCGTCTGACTCCTGAGAACTAAAGTTATGGCGGCGTCACGCATGCGCCGAACACTTAGTGAGATCGGTCTATTTTTTGCTATTGGCGACGTGCGCGACCGAAAGCGTCGCTGTGGTCGGCCTTCCATGATTGGCCCAAAAGCTGACTGTGACGTCGGAATGGGTATACCATCGACGGAAATAAGAGGAATGAAAGAACTTTAATTTCGACGGTGTTGGCAGTGTTCCTTTGAGAGCGCAATGATTTCAGGCTTCCACCATGCCCATTACAAACACCATCGAACTTGTTGTTCGCAAGGTAATGACGTCACAAGGGGGAACCATAGGAGGGCGCCACCAAAACATCTCGCCTAGAGTGCCTTCATACACACGCGCGCTTTTGCTAATCTCGCCGCTAATATTTCCCAAACATCAAGGAAAATTCAGGGGTTGGTGTTCCACGCGCCACACGTGCTGGCGTCAGCAGTAGTACATTTTCTAAAGCAAATACCTAAAACAAACGGCATCTTGGATGCGCGTTCGTCAACGCTTTATTTTGGTTATTTACTTCGAGTCTTTTATACGGGGAAGGCGTGCGCGTGTGGCGTGTGGAACACCAATTCCTGCATTCTCCTTGATGCTTGGGTAATATAGGCCCGTAGCTCTCAAGTTTCGAGCAGCACTGGTGAGCAAAATAGAATAATTGGCTCGCGTATTGAACATGCCTCAATACTAGGGGTGTGCGAATATTGAAATCTTCGAATACGAATCGAATGTGAATAAGACAAAAAACGGGCTTCGAATATCGAATATGTGTCTTTTAATAAAACATGGCAAAACAAGAGGCAACAGCAGGTTTTAATACCTTTTTTTAAATAAATCGATGCAACTTCATTTCACTGGGCTGCAACATTTTCGCCAGTAGGAAGACCCTTTAATCGCGAAACTTGCGAAATTTTACTAAAGTTCTAAGAAGTTTGACTTATGGACAGTGTGCTACACGAATATTTCGAATTTTCGGAAATACAAAAAGATTAGAAACTAGTTTATTTCATATTTTATAAATTGGTTACCAATGTTTACACCATATAAAAGCAAAAACATATGCTTTTAATGCTTTCATTAGTTATTAATGTGAAGCAGTGATGCCGATAAACCCAACAAACAATGCACTTTTCCTCCGCCAGGTGCGTCAACTAGTTTTTTTTGTTTTGTTTTTTCGCGCATGTGCACGAAAGTAGAACTTCAGTCGAACCTTTGTCGAACATCACATTGAAAGTTCGAAAAATTCACATCTTAGTCGAACTCGAACCTGGGCAGGTTTGCGACATCCCTAGTTCTGACTTCTGACTAGGGGTGTCACGAACCGGCCGAGGTTCAAGTTCGACAAGGTTCAACTTTTTCGAACTTTTACTGGAAAGTTTGACGAACCTTGTATTGAGGTTCGACTCGTGTGCGCATGCGCGACAGGCTAGCCAGTTGGCTTCGGATTGGACGGTGGTGGCTGAGGGATGAATTAAGGGCAGCGCTGATTGGTTATTTCAGTTAATACAATACAAAAAATAAGGTTATTAACTTCTTCAGTGATTTGAATTGGTTTCTTTTAATTGTAACTGTGCATAAAATTAAAAAAAAAACTTTGCATTAAAAAATTCTTTAAACCTAGACACGTCTGGCCACACTGTCCACAAGGTCGAACCCACTGAGCCGAGTGGTCGAACCGGTCAAATCTGGTCAAAAGGTCGAAGGTTCGTCGAACCACGAAAGTTCGAGAAAAAACTTCGGTCGACAAAAGTTCGCGACACCCCTACTTCTGAGTCCTGACGGCGCAGGAGTGGCACTGTGGCAGGAGTTGTCGTCGATGGCGATGCAATGTTCTGCTCGCACCTAGCTTTTTCTTTTTTCTTTTTTTTTTTTAATAGCTTGAGCGCCACACAACAAAAGGCTTGGTGAAAAAGAAACCGAAACTAATCCTGTCTTGCTGCCATCGGACAGATAGAAACAAAGCAGGCCGATAACGCACGCATCATACACCTTTCTCAGTGACAAAACATATTCATAGAGGAATGCGTGGAAAGAAGATTATTCGTTACTTGCTCCAATATTCGTAGTTTGTGCGAATATTCGCCATTTTGCCGAATATTCGGCTGTGGCTGGATATTCGGGAACTTCCGAATATACAATTTTCGAATCGAACACGTTTCGAATAAGGAAAATATTCTATTCGTATTCAAAATTTCGAATATTCGCATACCCTTACTCAATACGCTTCCACACTACAGTTTTGTACACTTCGTTCCATTCAAAGTGCCAGCGTAGCAGAAACTACAAGAGCGAGCTGCGAGATTTAATCGCCCTTGCCAAGCACGCGCGCTTGTGCAGTGCGAGCATCGTTCAGGAGGATGTGGTTTAGCGAGTAGCTGTGGCTTCATATCACGTAAAGTGAAACATACGTGCTCGCGAAAGCTATGAAAGAAAGCAAAGATGAAAGGAATATCTAATGGCATGTCGCGGTCGCGAGCTCCATAATTTTTTTTAGACGTTTTGTTATCGAGCATCTACAGATGCTGACAGATGATTTTGTTCGAACAAGGACGTGCAAAATCAAACAATACAGCACCACACGGATAGTGCAGCCAGCATAACATGGTCGCGTCTTGCGCAAGTCTTCCTGACGCCCTCGCGCACCCTGCCCCAGAGCACCGGGTCTAATTTTTGCGCAGATCACAATGTAGTGAATCCTTGCGCATTCGAATGAATACGACTGAATGACGATGGCGGACAATGCTCGGGAAACTTGACGTTTTACACGCTCAGGATTCGGCCAAACGTTGCGTTTTGGGGGAAGCCACGTAGTCGTCCTCGTGCCCCTCTCAACACTCAACAGAACTGGCGAGACGAAGTATTCGGAACGGAGGGAGTGAAGGAGATGAAAACGTGCCGAACGCGAGACGGCGTTCTCGTTCGCTCTGATTGGAGAAAGACCAAAGCGGCTAGTCTTTCCGTCTATAGCCGCCAGCCTTCCAATCGGAGCTTCTTGCTCCGACGTCACCGCACGACCTCATCTCTTCCCATGCCTCAGTTTCACACCACAGTGGACGCTCCCTCTCCAGCGCGTTTATTTTTTACCTTCGATGCACTTCGGCGCACGAGAAGTCAAACTGGCCGGAAGGCAACCAGCGTGTGCTGGAGGCGGAGCATCTACAGCTCTGACCTGACGTTGCTATCCAATCATATTTATTTTGAAAAATTTGCGAAAGGTACACTCATGCGGTGTGTGCAGGTAGGTTATATGGTTAGGAGGGTTTAATCTAGGGGAATAATTAAAACCTCTGGTTGGATAATCAACTAAAATTTGTAGATTAAATTCTTTTAATTAGTGAAAATAAACTTTGGGTTTAAATTGGAAACTGGTTGAGCGTCATTGAAAACCACTAGATCAGTGAATCTCAAAAAGACTCGAGGAAGCGCGGAGGGTGGGCAAAGTTATCACTCAAGCAACGGGCACGAGGCTAGCTGTACGAAAACTTGAATGAATCTTATCATCCCCATTTTCGCACCGCTAGCCTCGTGCCTGTGGCACGAGTGGTACACTTGGCGCGCCCCCCTCCCCCCTTCTACACCTTCCCACATACTTCGAGTCTTTCTAAGGTTGAAGGATTTAGTGTTTTCAGTGACGCTCAGTAATTCTGAACCCGGAACCACGTGTTTATTTTCACAAATTAAAAAGTCAGATAACGAATTTTAGTTCATTATCTGTCTTTACGTGAAAATTAGCCCACTTATTATGTCCCCTGGTCATATGACTCACCTGCACAAACCGCATCAGTGTACCTTTGGTGGCTTTCTAAAAGTGTATATCTGTTCGAAATAAAATCAAACACCCCGTATAGTCAGAGCTGAAGAAGCGCATTACGTTCCCACTTCTCGCTTCGTGGTTGGTTCCTCGGTCGGCCAATGCCACAGTCTCACAGACTGGAAGCTCCGGTACGGGCACGTTATGGGCCTTCAGAACGAACTCGTGCGTAGAACAGGCGAACTTCTGCTCGCGTCAATGA